TTTGAATAAATTTTATTGATGTAAATTATTATTTTCAATACAGTAATTTTATCTACACAATTATATTATTATTTTTATTAATAACAATTATTCAATTTTTTGCATAAATAATATAATAATGAACAGTTGTAACCTTCTATATTAACAAGCATACTTCAAGAGAATAGAAAAATTAGAGGTTTTGGTTATAAAATTTGCTTCAAGTAATCGTCACTAATTACACAAATAATATTTAAATCTTCTCATAATTAATTAATCAAATTGAGATTGTGAAATCCTTTCCACATTAAATATTATGAAATTATTGTCAAAAACTATCTTTTGTAAAGTTAGAATTGCAATAGTCAAATAGATCAATTTAAAAAATATTTAGAGGAGTATAATTATCATTTTTTTTAAATAATAAGGTTTTTTATTTTTTTTATGATTTTTCCCCAAAAAATTTTGGATTTCATAACTCAATTAAAGGGAATTTAACAAAAAATTTAACTTGTGGTTCTATTAAGGCAATAATAGAGCAATAAATCACGACTTGTTCTGATAAACTGTACATCTGAGGATTTCTTTAAGATTTTGATGGGGCATTTACTTTTTTCACTTCTATTGGTTATGTTTGAATATTTTCATTTTACTCTTAGAAGTTGCTCATGCTTCTTATATTCCTGCTTGGTCAGTCAAAAATAGAATCACTTCCTACTAGAAAGTCACTCCACCCAAACAAATTACGTCTAGTTAAATATTTAAAAATAATTTAATAAAGTAATAGAAAGTATTTGATTAATTATTGAGTAAAAGAAATAATTTTCAATATCCAAATAATACATAAAAAAATAAGATTTGTACAGAAAATTAAATGATAAATCGATATTGTAATTTTTGTATAATTCATATTTCATTATATTTTCTAATTTGAATTTCTTTTGAACCTTCATCCCAAATGATCAAATACTATCCATCATCACTCATTTATCCATAAATTTAACTATAATCTTTAAATTAAATTGATTATTCTATTTTAAATTCGCAATCTCCAATTTTCTTTATCAAATATACACAACTTTTATTTTCATTTACAAGAATACATTTAGATTTTACATACTATTATGGAAAATAACATTAATCATAACCACCTTTAAGATCTATATGCTTTACCTTTGAATACTGTTCATTAGTATTATTCATTTCATAAATATGCATTTAATATTCGCCAAATGGTTAGAATGTGAATATGTTCTCATCTATAAAACATATACGACAACCATATTATTCAACCTTTATCTTTTAGATTATCATCCATTTGGAATCCTATTATGATTATTTTATTATTAATATTTATGCATCCAAACCACATGAAATCACTTTATTTTATTGATCATTCAAACTTAATGCTAGTAATTATTAAGTATGTTCTGCAATAGTTTATGAACAAAACCATTCATTCTATTTTTTCATCCAAAATTTAATCGTATTATCAGAACTACCTGAAATGATCTAATCATCATTATTATTTAACACTAAACATCTTATTTGATTAGTATGTCCAGTTAATTTCTCTTAAAAAACCCATTAATTGTTTTAATTCTGTACCCATATTATAATTTACTTATCACTACTTCCAGATATAAATCGATTAGATTTATTCATAAAGTTTAAAGTGTTCACATAATCTTAATGATCAATCAAAAGTTAAGTTTGTTTCAACACTTCCTTTTGGAATTCAAATACTTTAATATCCTTACTACATGCAACTAAAACAATTGAAACATCTTTATTAATAGCTATTGCATAACAAATTTAATCTTATTTAACTGAATTATTTTTTATTAGTTAATAATTGAATGATTTATTTGTTAAAGGGACATTTTATTTATTACTTTGTGTGTTTTCTTGATTGCTGAAGAACATTTTGATTATTAATTTAAATAAAAGATTTGATTCATAAGTATTAATTTTAAAAGTCAAAATCAGTATTAATAAGAAAAAAAATAATGAACTACAATTTATATTAAATTATTATAGGAAGATTTAGAGATTTGATAACCATGGATATATAATATAGTAGCTATTATTTGTAAAATTAATAATAATTACTGCTTAACTTAATTTGTATATATAGGCATTAAAATTTACATAAATTTAACTCAGAAAAAAATATGTTAATAAATTTTAGACATATTGATTTTATTATAAATGATATTTTTAATTTATCACCTTCAAAGTAGATGATTTTATTATGGTTAATTAATTTAAGCTTTCATAACGAAACATCAAGACCTAATTATTTGTTTGAAGATAACCAATTTGACGAGCTCAATATGATATCATATTTATGGATATGATTATCATTCTTATTTAATGCTATTCAGCTTCTTTACAAAGATATAAATCAATTCAGAATCTTAACAGCTTAAACCATAATTCATAATTTATCGCAATAATTTTGCATATAATTATAAATATGTTTTGTTTTGATACGTTGTTAAGATAGGAATTAATTTATCTAATTCACAAGATAATCATCAATATATATTAAACAAAAGGTTAATTATATATCAATTAAATAAGAATCGATACTTGTGAAATATAGATTTAAAATTAATTTAATTTATCTCATCAAAGATTGATTGTTTTAAATTATTCATGTCTTTTTTTCAAATTTGATTTAGTAAGGCAAAATATTAAATTTTGATTCATAGATCAATTTTAGGTATTAAATTTTTTTTTAAATCAACTTTACAACAATTACATACTCACAGAAATGAAAATTTTGGTTTATATTTTTGGACAATATTGTATTCTATTTATAGTGTAGTAACTAAATATGCTGCATTTATTAAATTCACTTCAATCATGCAAATAAATCATATGTAGTTTATAAGAAAAGTGACCAATAGCTCATATCATTGATTAAAAATTATTAGTGATTTTATCAGCTTATTCTATTGATTACCCTATTATTGAATTTAAAGCTTTTATGAACGAAATAAATTGAAAAAATTATGAACTTTTCTGATATGTATTTTATTCAAAATTTAATGATAATCACTAATAAAATCACTTTAAAAAATCTCATCTGAAATAGACGATCAAATAGAGGTACAAAATTCAATATTTGAAAGATATATAAGGAATCAATACATTTATATGTATTACATTTATACGAAGTCACAATCATCAATTTTACAGGTTCAGGATATATATTTACAAAGACAAAGAGGATTAATTATAATTTAAATGTTCTAACTCCTACAATAATCTATATATGTAGATTTCAAATAAATTAAAATCATTCATATATGTCTAACCATCTATTGTGGGTGGACTGATTTCATTGATATTATTTAGATAAATATCTTGTTTCCATTGAATTTAAGTTAATGTTACTAATAGATATGATACAAAAACTCATTATTCATGGTTATTTAAGTTTTTTACTACCTTTAATTATATTTTCTTTAATTCTCCCTTATTATTATTATTATCTTTGTATTATGATTGATTATTTAATTATTTATTTTAAGAATATAAAATATAATTTAATAAATCTAAGTA